ATGATGTGACTCAATAAAAGGTCAAACGGGTAAAAATGGTCTCACTAAATAAAATGTTCCAACTGGTACAAATGATTTATTTAGAAAAAAATCAATTTGGTTAAGTCTCTTACTGGTTAGAATAGTCTAACTACTTGAAATGGTGTAACTTCTTGAAGGGGTCTAACTACATAAAAACTTCCAACCGGTAGAAATGTTCTAACTAAAGAAAATGGTCCAACTGCTTAAAATGAACTAATCAGCCTAAGCGATCTTTCTATTTAAAATGGTCCAACTGTTTAAAATAATGTGACCCAATAAAAGGTCGAACTCGTAAAAATAGTCCAACTAAATTAAATGTTCCAACTGGTGCAAATGGTCTAGCTATAGAAAATATTCGAACTGGTTAAAATTCTCCAACTGGTTAAAATGGTCTAACTACTTGAGATAGTCGTGCTTCTTGACGTGGTCCAGCCGGTAGAAATGGTCTAACCAGATAAAATGATCGAACTGGTTCAAATGACCGAAATGGTTAAAGTTGTACAACTAAGCTAAATGGTCCTTTTAGATAAAATGGGCCAACTGGGTAAATGGTCCAATTTGTTAGGCTGGCCTCACAAATTAAATTGGTTTATCTGGAAAATGGTCCGACTGAGTTACATGACCCAGGCACTTAAAATGGTCCATGGTTAATGGTCTAACTGTCGGTCTAACTGCATCAAATGGTCCAACCGATAAAAATGGTCTTGCTAAATAAAAATGGTCTTGCTAAATAAAAATGGTCCAGTCAATTAACTGGATAAACTGGTCCAACTGGTAAGAATGGTCTAACTGGAGAAAATGGTACAAATGGTTAAAATGGTCCAAGCGGTTAATATGACCACGGTAGAAAATTGATTCGACTGCTTGGATGATCAAACTGTTTACATTTGTCAAACTGATTAAGATTATCTAACCAGTAACTACAGTGGATCCAACCAGTCTAAAATTCTGAGATGGTCCAAACGCTAAAAATGGCTTTACTAGATAAAAATTCCAACCGCTGATAATGGTCTATCTACATAAAATGGTCCAACTGGTAGAAATGATATAAGTAAAAAATAGAATCCAAGTGGTTTGAGTGGTCCAATTGGTTAAAATGATCTTACTAGAGAAAATGATCTTAAAATGGTTTTAAGTGCTGGAAATGGTCTTATTACATAAAATTGTCCAGCTTTTAGAAAAGGTCTAACTGATTAAAATGGTCTAACCAGTTAAAATATTCTAATTGGAGAAAAGTATCCAACTAGTTAAGATGACCCTAATGGTTAAAATGGTCAACCCAGTTGAAACGGTCTAACTACATAAAATGGTCCAACTGTTAAAAACTTGAGAAAATCGTCCAACATGTGAAAATGGTTAGACTAGGAAAAATGGTCCAGCTATTTAAAATGATCCAATTGGTCACAATCTAACCAGATAAAATGATGCAGTTGTTTAAATGGCCGTCTTGATTAAATGGTCACAATGATGGAAATTTCCTAACGACAAAAAAGGGCGCAAGTAGTAGAAATGGTTTGACTTGAGAAAATAGTCCAACTTATTAAAATAATCATAAAGTTTTTCAATGAAGAAAGATGGTAAATTGGCTCACAAGAGAAAATGGTCCAACTGTTCAGAATGATCCAACAGCATAAAGTGGTCTAACTAAATAAAATGGTCCAAATGATGATAAAAGTTAGAATTAAAGAAGATGGTCCAACTGTTGAATGTAGTCCAAACGCTTAAAAATGATCTTACCAGATAAAATGCTCTAACTGCAGAGAATGTTCTTTCTAGATGATATGGTCTTACCGGTGACGATAGTCTATCTACATCAAATTGAGTAAAATTGTGGCCAACTAAATAGAATGTTCAAAGAATGGTCCTAGAATAGTCCAACCGCTTAAAATGACATTACTGTAGCATATTAGCACGTGATGATTAGCACTTATTGTAAGTTACATTTTGCGTACGTATAGTTAAGTAAGCTGGCACGTTATGCGAATACAGAGAGCGCACACACGCGGTGTGCACGAGTCGGATGCAATAAAGTCTTCGACAATATATATATTAAATGGTGGCAGCGGTTTAAAAGCATAATTTCTAAAGCTAAATCGAGAGCTAGACAGGCCAACAGAAGCGAATCATGGCAGCAGCAATGCCTTTTGCGTCGCCGCAGATGGACTGGAACACTCCTGATCCGATAATTGTACTCGCAAGGCTCCAATAAAAATGTCAGCTTATATTTTCGAGCGTTCTTAAAGACACCGACGACAAAGAAAAAGTAAGCTATATTCTTCTCTGGTCGTGAGAAAAAGGCCTGGATATTTACAACAGCTGTTGCTTGTTGTTGTTGTTTATTATTATTTTACAGAACATTACAAGCAAATTTACACAACCGGCATATAGCATTAATTAGTCTTGGCGGGTATTAGAAATAAATAAGTAAATACTACACATTACAAGCTAAAGAAGTTTGATTGCCACAATAAACTAAAGACATTTTACAATAAACTAAAGAGATTTCATTACTGCAATATTATTGGGGTTATAAGCCATGCATTAGTTTACTATATTATAAGCTACAAAATACGTACAGTTGTCTTTCAAATTAAATACAATAAAATTACTAGTGAGTTAAAACAAGACATAATAATCAAATACAGGCAGAGCAGACTGGAAAGTAGAGAGGAGAAAATTGTGATATACGGATGTGAACGACGTACTACAGTTATAATTTTCGATAATCATTGGTATTGAATTTCAATATTAGTGAATGGGCGTCAACATAATAGACCTCAATCCCAAGTATAGTCAAAAGCAGCTTATGAATTTAACTTTTAAATGCTCCTTTCGTGAGCTTACGCAAGTCAGGGTTTAGACAGTTCCATAACCTCGTACCAAACGCAGAGAAAGACTTAAATTTCACATGCAATCTAGATTTCTGTACATAAAAATTCTCTGTGGAAGAAAAGCGCGTGTTATACTTGTGGACGTCAGATGAATTGATAAAAAGTTCGCGAATATTCCTAGGTGTAGAGCTAGTAGAAACGTCATGCATTATGGCAGAAACGGTTTCAAAATAGAGCATATTAATGGGTAGGATATTCGAAGTTATGAAAAGAGGGATAACATGAGATATTTTGCTGGAGAAGAAAATCAATCGGAGTGCACGCTTTTGTAAGGTGAGAATCTTTTTTAAATCACTCTGAGCTGCCTGACCCCAAGCAGCTATACCGTAGAGCGTGTAGGGAAAAATCAGCGAACGGTAAATGTGAAGAAGGGTATTTAAAGGTATACGATGTCTAAGCCCGGCGATTATACCCACTATTTTGCTAATCTTCGCAGCAATATGATCAATATGAGGCCTCCATGTTAAGTTCTTGTCAATTAGTATACCCAAAAAGCAGCTGGACATTTACCAAGAAAGAAGACAGAAAAAAGCCTTCCATTATTTTCGAACGGTTCGAGAATCAATTGGAGCCGAAGACGAGTCATCGAATTCAGAGATCTACGCTACAAGGAATACGAGAAGAACAAGGCGAGCCAGTAGATGATTTTATCTCACGATTAAAAAACCTAGCAGCAAAATGTCAATTTCGCGACAACGCCGACGTCGAAGGTAAAGTTTTGGATCGGCTCATTTGGGGGTCAAGAAATCCTGATTTTCAAAAGTTTGTCATAAGCCGAGATCAACCACTGACCCTTACAGCCGCTAGTGAGATTGCAAGGAGCCACGAGGCGATAAGTAAACACATGAAAACACTGGCAGGAAGTAGTAAAAGCTATTAAGAGGACAGGAGTATTGATGCCATTCATAAGGAACAAGAAAGGGAATTCTGTAGCAACTGCGAAAACAACACATCATGTCGAAAACGTGGCAAAGCAAATCATTGGCAATTTGTTTGCCGGTCCGCCAAAACGGAAAAAATTCAACCAAAGAACATGGCCTGTCTTCAAAAAATTGATTCACACGAGTGAGGACAGAGACGACGCTGATGACGATGAAACCGTGAAAATCAGTATCATAGAGGTTGACGCCATGGAAGACACGCGACATTCGATACACGATGCACGTGACGAAGCCTTTGCAATACTTGAGATAACAGCCAGAAAAGAAGCGGAAAATGAATCTCCATTGTAAGGTAGACACAGGTGCACAGAGCAATGTTTTTCCTATCAGATTACTTCGCATAATCGCTCCAGAGAAGTTTGACGAGGAAGGAAATCCCAAACCAGAAACATAGAAAAGAACAAAGTCGTCCTTTCAGCATATGGCGGCTCTATAATAAAGCAGCTTGGCACCATAAATATTCCTTGCAAGTAAAAAGGGAAGAAGATCAACTGCATTTTTTACTTCACAGACACTTCAGGGCCAGCCATTTTCGGTCCGGTTAAAAGCGTGCACTGCACTGAAACTAGTCTCCTTACATTGTACACTCAGAACAAATCAACTAGACCAGGGCGATCCAACTAACAGCTTCAACGTTCCAGCACAAAATTCAGATACCTGCAAGAAAAGCCTAAATTACATCGGAAGTCCTGTACCACTGGAAGGACGGCCACCAATCAGAAGAAAACAAGGACTGATGGAGATGTACCCAGAATTTTTCGATGGCATTGTTGGATGTTTTAACGACTATACGTATCACATCACACTAGATCACCCGAAGTATCACCGGTTGTTCACGCACCCCGCAAAGTGCCCATAGAGTTAAAAGACAAACTACAAGTCGAACTACTTGAAATGGAAAGCCAAGATATCATTGCAAAAGTAGCGCAACCAACAGATTGGGTTAACTTCCCGGTTATTAGACAGAAAGAAAATGAGCGACTTTGTTTATACCTCGACCCTACAGACCTGAATAAGGCGATCAAAAGAGAACATTACCCTAAACCCACTTTCGAGGAAATTACACTCAAATTAGTAGGAGCAAAGCTCTTTAGCAAGCTCGAAGCCTCGTAACCTCACAGCCAGAGTTGTTGTTAATGAGATAAAAATGCTATTCGGAGAAAATGGAATCCCAGAATCTCTTCAATGCGATAACGGTACTCAATTTATATCCGGCGAGTTCCAACAACTGGCAAGGCAATATGGTTTTGAAATTGTGACGTCATCCTCCCACTACCCACGTGGCTATGGGTTCGTTGAACGCCAAGCTCAGACGGCTAAGAAGACGATCTTGAAATGCAGAGAGACTAAAGAAGACATAGATCTAGCCCTGTTGGCTCTACGAACAACGCCCCTCAGTTCCAACATACCATCATCAGCTGAATTACCGAGTGACCGAGTGTTCAAATCCACACTTTCCGGTAAGATCCAGCCATCAAAGAACCAAGAAGAAGTTAGCAATTGGCTCAAAGCGAGACAAGATAACCAGTGCTACTATTACAACAGACACACTAAGGAACTCCCTGAACTACACAGGAACCAAGCCATCTATGCGCAAGATCCCAGCGAGAAAGACGTAAAATCCTGCTAGAGCCATAGATCAGGGAGATACGCCCCGCTTATGTAGTATAGAAACTGGAACTGTTGCTGAACTACGGAAGAAATAGGATCCATCAGACCAAACAATGCTTCCGACAACCTTACAAACACCTTGTCACGTGCGTGTCAAGATGGCGGTTGGAGGCGCTTTATCAGCTCTTCAGCTATATTTCATTTTACGCTCTTTTGCTAAACCTTCATGCTTTGGTACCGTTTCTAGTTTATTTCTAGAAACTTGTGAACTTTCCAATGAGTTCTTCTGGCAACCAAATGTACTTATCCGGCAAGAGGTTTTGACGAGGCTTGTTCGCACCGATTATTTGGCGAAGCAACGTTGCAATTCAAAGGCTTCATCATTACATCATGGCATTTCTTTGAACAAGTACCTGATAACCACAACCCTTTTGCTATCTAACGATATTGAAGTAAACTCTGGTCCTTCTACACTTTGTTCAACCTGAAATGGAACAGTGATGAATGGAAATTTAAATTCTTCCGCCATTGACAGCCCATTGAAGCGTGTGAAAGGCCTTAAAATGGTTCATTTAAATGTCAGAAGTCTCCTGAGAAACATGGATGAACTTCGCCTTTTCGTTTGTGCTAGCAGGCCTGACATCATAACTTTATCCGAATCTTGGCTAGCTAGATTGCTCGATTTCAAACGAAGAAATTATCAGCTACGATGAATATATGAAGTTCACATATTTGAACTGCGGTTATAGATACGTATGATGCATGATCCTCGCAGTAGAGAGCGCTATTTATGCAATAGCGAAAATCAGACCTGAAAAAAATCATACGTATCTATATTTGAACTGCGGTATTAAATACGTATGATGCACGATCCTTCGCAGTTCAAATATATCAACTTCATATATTCATTGTATCTGATTTATCAGCACTTGTTCATTACGAATCAACTTAACGGCCTGCTCCCAGTTGGCTTGTTAGCTCAATTGATAGAGCGCTGCACTAGTATCGCAGAGTGGTTCGAATCCCGTACGGGCCTGATTTTTTTCAGGTCTGATTTTCGCTATTGCATAAATAGCGCTATCTACTGCGAAGGATCGTGCATCATACGTGTTATTGTTATTGTTATTGTTAAATATTGTTATTATCAGACTATCGACCTTACGCTAATCAATGCACTGTTATTCAGAACACCATTTTTTAAGTCAAAAATGGACTACTATTCTAATCTTATCTCGGAGGCTGGTAATGACAGTAAAGCCCTATTTCGTTTAATCGACCGTCTCCTCCACAAGAAAGCAGAGAGAAGTTATTAAACCAGCTCATCGGCTGAAGATCTTGCTAATATATTTGTCACCTTTTTCGAAGATAAAATAACCCGTATTAGAACCATACCTATTCCTCCAGAAATTCCTGATTTCTTTTCTTCACTGGATATTTATAATACTAAGGTTTTTTTATGAGCGCATTTAAGAATCTCAATGCGCTGATATAGCATGATNTATATGAACTTCATATATTCATTGTATCTGATTTATCATCACGGGTTTATTACGAATCAACTTAACGGCCTGCTCCCAGTTGGCTTGTTAGCTCAATTGGTAGAGCGCTGCACTAGTATCGCAGAGGTCAGTGGTTCGAATCCCGTACAGGCCTGATTTTTTCAGGTCTGATTTTCGCTATTGCATAAATAGCACTCTCTACTGCGAGGATCGTGCATCATACGTGTATCTACAACCGCAGTTCAAAATATATCAACTTCATATATTCATTGTATCTTAGCACCTATTGTCAGTTATATTTTGTGCATGCATATTTAACTTGAAGCTGGCACGTTTTGCAAATACAGAGAGCACACACACGCGGTGTGCATGAGTCGGATTTGATTAGATCTTCGACAATATATATATAACAATCAGTAAATAAAATGGTCCGACTGTTTAAAAGGGCCTACGTGATAAAGTTATCAGACGGGTAAAAACTTCTTAAATTCATGGTCTAAAAGTGATCGAACTGGTTAAAATGGTCCAACCAGTTAAGATGGTTTCAGTACATACCGTGGTCTTTATGGTCATAAATGGTCTAACGAAAGACCTCATCCAAAAATGCACCAATCATAACTGTGAAATTCCATCTAGTCACAGCTTAGCACAACAGCACATAGGTGACACACACTCAATCAACCTCATCGCCTTTAGAAGACTAGCAGTATGCAGGCGAAACGTCGATTTTACATCTGAAATGATCGCATCGTGAGACAAATGATCATACTTCTCTTTTAAAAATGGTCCGACCAGTTAAAATGATCCACTCAGAGAAAAATACAAAAATGGTCTAACCGATTGTAATTGTAAAACTACATAAAATAGCCCAACTCCCTAAAATGATCCAACCAATTACAATGGCTAAACTGGTGGAAAAGGCGTAACTACAGAAAATGATCCAACTGGTTAAAATTGTCAAATTAAATAAAATTGTCCAAACGACCAAAACAGTCCAACCATATAATATCGTCCACTGGAGAAAATGGTCTAAATGGCAGAAATGGTCTATTTAAGGAAGATAGTCACATCAGTTAAAATGGTGTATTTGGTTAATACTCTCACTTCATGAAATTGTCCAACCAAGTAATATGGTCTAACTAGATAACAATGGTCATATCAGTGAAAATTGTTTCACTGGTACAAATGCTCGAACTAGAGAAAATGGTCCAACTGATTCAAATGAAATGTTAAATCCAACAGATTTAAATGGTCAAACCAGTTAGAATGATCCAATCGGTTAGAATGGTCTGCCTAAATATGGTCCAACCGCTTTAAATGATTTAAAATGATCTCACTTAGTAAAGTGGTCCAACATCTTAAAAGGTTTATATGACTCAACATGTTAATGTCTCAATAGGTTAAAATGGTCTTACTAGTTAAAGTGGTCCGAAATAGTCTGAATGGATATAATGGTGAAAATGGTCTACCTATACATAAACTGGTCCAATTTAGTTCAAAAGGTCCAATTAGAGAAAAAGGTTAAACTGGTGAAAACGATCCAAGCGATTAATATGGTCAAATAAGTAAAATTTGTCCAAACGACCAAAACAGTCTAACCACATGAAATGGTTCACTAAAGAAAATGGTCGAAATGATAACATTGGTCCAAGCAGTTAAAATGATCCTGATAAATAAAAAGGTCCAATACTTAAAATGGTGTAACAAGATAAAATGGTCCAACTTCTTAAAGTGGTCTTACCTGATAAAATGGTAATGCTACTGAGAATTGTTCAACTACACATAATGATGCCACTAGTAGAAATGGCCTTATATGACAAAAAGGTCTCACTGATAAAAACTTTCCAACCAGTTAGAATGATCTTAATGGATAAAATCGTCCAAACGTGTAACATATTCTTGCTTGATAAAATGTCTATATCAGTGAAAATGGCCCAGACACATGTATGGTCCAACTGGTGGTAAATGGTTTTATAGCTGAAAATGGCCCAACGTGTTTAAATGATCCGTCCGGTTAAATTAGTGAAACTGGAAAAATGGTCGAACTTGTTAAATGGTCTAGCTAGAGAATATGGTCCCACTAGTAAAATTGATGTCATACTTTTTATCAGCCCCTTCTTCACATCTGATGAAGTAGATCAAGGTGAAGATAAAGATTAAGGTTGTTTGTTTGCTTTCCCTCCTTTATCACTAAACTTGAAGCTACTTGGTAATTGATTCCTGTTAACATATGCCAGTAAAAAGCGTTCCAAGACCGAGATTTGCCCCTGCTATGAAACAGAAATCAGTGCTAGGGCAAACTCCAAACTCTGCACAAATCCTTTTGAAAGAGACAATGTTGTAACCATTGTTGAATTGACTGAAAGTAGGGTGTCCGGGTTGTGCAGCCTAACTGTTGGTTGGAAAATGTGTATGACACGAGAAAAGATGTAATATTTCCTGCAACCCGTCAAGACTTATCGACAGGAGCGATCTCTAAAATCAGTTGTAAAGATTGTGACAAAGTTTATATCGGTCAAACATCAAGAGTCTTAACATCCAGAAACACAAGAGAGCGATTTTCACGGGAGATAGAAATTCTTTATTAACTCAGCATTGTATAAAATACAATCATGAATTTGACCTTGAGGACGTCAAGATCATTGACCGCTGTTCCCAATCATCGGAAAGATTATTTTTATAAGCGTGGCATTCAAGTTGTGAACCGAATGCCATTAATGAACACATTTACATTCTCGACATTTACAAGGCTCTTGGCAATCCCAAGTGACGTTTCTGCGGCTCTTTCTAAAGCACTCATTTGCTTTCGTAGCCATTTTATTGCTGAAGAAGGTTATAGTATTTTAACCGAAACGACCTCACACAATAGTCCGGAAGCAAGGACTGGAAAATTGAGGTTTCGCACAACCCACGAGTTAGAAAAGGTTTGATAGTAGGTTTTTATAGAGGAAGACTTGCTGATTAACGCCAGGTAGTTTGTAAAGTCAAATTGTGGTATAGGTTTTGCGTTAAGAGGGTGTTTTCGTGGACAAACCACTGTTCAGCATAGAAACAATTATAAAACGGGATTCCCAGGCGTTTTGACCATGATTTTAAGACTAAACTTCTTATATGAAGTCAGTTTCATAACAGGAACTTTGCTTACTCTTTAAATCCGTGAAAAATGTACCATGACTGCTCTTGTGACTCTGAATATGCAAAAACACTTTCAGGTAAGTACTTATTACTATAGTTTACTTTCATTTACAAACATTAGCCTATCATCTCAAGGGTAGAACGAACGTTTTTGTGTTAGAAAAGATAAATTTCCACTAAATTCTTATGTAAAAACTAGAATTGCTCTTTTAAAGTAAAGTTTAAATGGATTTTAAAGGGTTATCCTCTCAGCATGAAAACGAGGCTACATAGTGGGTAGACCCTTTTCGCTTTCTTTTTCCACAAGGCAATCGTTAAGAATTATGAAATTGTGTGACAAATCATCTGAGGGTTATCCTTATTGTTTTTGATAGGTCTATAATCG